ATTAGTCAAAGTCCAGTTAGTAAGGTGAGACCCACTTTCATAGCAATCTAACGAAAATGATAGTGGAAATACGATTAGGAGTTATCGTAGATATCAGGTACCATTGTAGAAGAATTGATAGGTCATGAATGCTATTATATATGATGCTATCGAATGCAACAAACATTTTTTTATTTCAAAATATGTCAAACTGGATATAATTTTATATTATATAATAAATTTAAAATTTTATTTAAAATTTTGTAATTTAAATTATAAAAATGAAAAACGATTGATTATAAACTATAAAGGAGTGGTTATGCATCTTGAATTATGCACCTAATATGTTAATAAACTAACAATAATCTTACATTGCATAAATGGACACAACGAAATACAATTGTTAATAATAATTTTAATAGATATATAGATAAATTTATAATGCTTCATATTGTTTGTGCTTTCATTTACAAAAAATTTCTTTATGGTACAATTATAACTTGTACCTTACATAATAATCAAATTTAGTTTGTGTATATACATTTTTGTATAGATTTTTTATATTACAAACGGAAGTTGTACTTTTAAAGTTATGGTACAAATTTAGTTTGTATCTCTATCTTTTTCATATAAATTATTAAGATTCAAACTGAACGTGTACTTTTAACATTATGTGTATAGTTTGTACTGATATATTTCGTACATATTACTTTACGATACAAACTAAGCTTATACTTTTAACATTATGACACAATTGTACAAATACTATATAGTATAATAAATGAGATAATATATAACGTTATGGTATAAATGAGATCATATATAACATAACAGATTAGTTAAAAAGTGATGTCCTTCTTTTTAGTTGAAGACCTTTTTTCTTAATTAATAAGCGGGCTTCCGTATTTTTTAATTACTAAGTGCCCTTTCTTTTTAGTTGGGGTTCCATTTTTTTAATTAATATAAGTTGGAGTGTTTTTAGCCATTAAATGACTAAACAATCCTTCCTTACTATGCGCAGAAGCTAGGAAAAATTGAATTGGGTGAGTTCTCAAAGAAAACCTCTATATATTGTTTGGAGGATATAAGTTGGAGTGTTTTTAGCCATTAAATGACTAGACAATCCTTCCTTACTATGCGCAGAAGCTAGGAAAAATTGAATTGGGTGGGTTCTCAAAGAGAACCTCTATATATATAGTTTGGAGGATTAGTATAATTGCAATTTGCTTTATTATAGTTTGTATGAGGCTTTAATTATTATTTTCATGACGCTTTGAACATATTACGTGAATGTTAGTTATTTGAGTCATTCTAATATTGGTGTTTCGAGATACAATTAAACATGTACCATAAGAGAATTTATATCTTTATATATGATACAATTTCAGTTTGTACTTTTAACTATAGGGGCAGGGGTTTGGTCCATATCGACGACACCAGACCAAAACGACGGTTGGACCGGACCACACAGAACCAAATATAATATGGTCTTGTCTTTGGTTCCATGAATTTTTTAGATACCGAAGAAAAATGGACCGAATTAACATTTGGACCGAACCAAAACGGATCAAAGCAGATCAAATGCATTGTTAGTTCGGTCTTTGGTCCTAAGATATCTTTCTCTATTGGACCGCAGTTCTCTTGAATTTGGTTCGATCAAGATTGAACCAGACCGTTGCCCACCTACTATTTTTAACGTTATGATATAATTCAATTTGTAGTATAAAAGAATTTGTACATAAAGGTATAGGCAACAACTGAATTTGTGTACCAACTGAATTTGTACCATAACTTTAAATGTACAAATTCAGTCGTACAATAAAGATGAAAAACTTAAACATTCATATTTTAAAGTATGGCAGAATTCCTCTATTTATTAAAAAAATTTCACAATTACCTTTTCCCAATTTAGAATCCTTAAAAAATTGGAAAAAAATAGATCAAAACATGACGGTGTTAGTTTTACAATGGTTTTTATGGTGAAATTGATACTAAAATTATATTTTAGTTGTCCAATTAAAAATCTTGAATAGTTGGAATTATATAATCTAACGACAAAAATTGGGGAAAAGGTAATGGGTCTTCAAGAACTACAAGTAGCAAGAGCCAATTGTAGCTAGATGTTGAGAATTCTTTACCTATTAAATTTTCATTCATCTCATTGAAAACATTATGTATATCTAATTCATATTTAGTTTTGAAGTTTCCAACCTGCATTTTTATTGTTTTTCTACGGGTCCATATTAATTAAAAATAATGGAACAAAAGTACAAAACATGAAAACAAAATATTATATGACATTTGTCTAAAGTATTGAAAAATATTTTAAATCACAATGTAAATACTTTTGTTGGTTTCCACGACGCAGCAACGTGAAACTGAAAAGCCTAAAACGGCTATAGACGGCACCACTACGGTCACAATAAATGACATAAATATTGATATTTTAAATAAATTTACTATCAATATGGCGGTTTGAAAACAATTTACACAAATTTTGTGTTTTTTAAGGGAAACAACGAGCCCGCCCGAGACTCAGGCGCTGAGGCATTTGAATTGTTTTAAACGAGTCAAAGGCACTAGCACCTGAGCCTCAGGCGGCCTCGCTGTCCCTCTTTTCTTATCCTTCATCTCCACCACTCACTTTCGCCCGAGAGAAAGAAGACTTCCCGCAGCAGCAGCAGCCGAGCTTCGCCCCCACGCCTAGTCCGAGACGGTCGCGCCAAAGTAAATGACAACCCCGCCTCAAACTCAGGCGGCCGCGCTATCTTCCCGGCGAAGGCGCCTGTTGCAGAACGAGCCGCCACTCTTTTCTTCTTCCCTCAAACCAGATCTGGTTTTCGGAGGAGAAGATGTGCGACGACGAGGAGCAAATCGCCGGCAGAGGAGGAAGAGGTAGTGGTCGTCGAGGTTGTGGCGGCGGCGACCGTTACGAGGTGAGGTTTTCGTCGACGGTGGTCGGATTCTCGTCGGCGGCGTGTTTTTTTTATGTTCTGATTAATTGTTTTTTTTTCAGTTCCTAGGCTTATGGACAGTTATTCCATGAGACCACCACCTGCGACAATTGATACAGCTCCGGTGGATCCGATACTTCTTTGGGGGCATGGTCACCATTGTATTGACTCAGTTTGAGTAAACAAGGTAAGTTTTCAAACTATTTCTATAGTTTTTTTTATTAACTGAACTGAACTGAAATTAAAATAGAATAGAATAGAATTACGAATGAAATATATGTTAAAATTAGAATAAGTTTAGTTTAGATTAGATATATAAATATAAATATTAGGTGAACTGAGTTTAGAAGTATGCATGAAATTGAATTAATATAAGTTTTGTGAACTATAGACTGATGATCGACCGTATCACGTTTGAGGTATGAGCAATTTAGTAAGATACAATCCACTTTATCAACCGTATCTCGTCGATGAGGCCTTGTTTACGGTTGAGTCGTACTGCTACAAGAATGCACCAACTCGGCGTTTCTCACAGTCCATTCGCTTCCCACATCTCGACATCCAAACCACACCATCCAAGGACAATTGTCATCCTTGTGCTTCAAACATCTGATCTTCCAGATTGAAGGTGACGACTCCACCACGTTATACTGAAAGTTGCGTTGTAGTGCGTAGTGTTTAATCGCCACCTGTGCAGCTTGTTTCGAGTGAAATATCTACCCCTTGTAGAATTCTCCATCAAACCCAGCAACAATAGGCATTGGAATTACGTCATATGAATCAGCATATGATAATTCGTCGTCCTCTTCATTACCCTGCAAGTAAAAATATGGAGGATAATTAGGATGTTCTCCTTCCTCCTCCTCCTCCTCCTCCTCCTCTCCGTCATCACCGTCATCATAGTCATGATCGGATGACACGCTCCATCTGTCATCTTCTTCCCCTCCACCCTGATCCTCACTGAGCTCAACATGTATCTCAGCACCCAAACAATAAGGGTTTTGTGCCATAAAATTCTAAAGCACATTCAAGCTATTATCATCCACAATAGGCATCCCATAATGAAATAAAACACCATTCTGCCATTCTGGAAGACAGTAAGTGAAACCTGTAATCACATCACTATCTTGTACTGCTTCGTCTTTACGCCGTATTCTTTGAATTAGATTATCACAAAGTTTCTGATAGTTCACCCTAGATGGAACAGTCAACTGAAAACTTCTACCACCAACGAAATGGACGCCCAAATTGTCCTCTACTCTCTCCGATTTCCACCGAACAGCTAGTTCAAATCTTCTAAAATCACTACATAAAAAACAAACTCACTAATTACTAACTAAACATAATCATTATAGCATTTGAAGAATATAATTAAAAAAATAAATACGTCTCTTACCTATTATTAGCCATCTTCTCAGCAACCATACAACAACCAGATAGCAACTAGAGCTTCTCTCGTCTAAAACTTCGTTGATTTTTTTTGGTGGTGAAGAACTAAAGGAAAGATGAGTATATATGGTGCTGGAGTGGATGAGGGAGGCAACGAACACGCCTCAGTCTCGGGCGCCAACGCTCAAGCTTTATAAAAGGCACCAATGCCCCAGTCTCGGGCGCCGCTGGGATTTATTGAAAAATCGATAACTAGCGGTCGCGCCCGAGTCTCAGGCGGGCTCGCTGTTTTCCTAAAAAAAACACAATATCTGTGTAAATGGTTTTTAAACTGCCATATTGGTGGTAAATTTTCTAAAAAAATAATATTTGTGGAATTTACCCCAGTACTACATAGTTACATTGGAATTAAAAAAAATTCAATTAAATATACCCTTTCTACCAACTTGACCAATTTCCCGAAAAAAAAATTAGTAAAGTGTTTTATTAGCATAAAAAGAGTTTAAGTGGTCAACTCATTTAAATAAAAAAAAATCATCCAAATAAAATGTCTGATTGGCTGGAGCTAGTGTTAACAACATAATAACAAAAAAAGTATTAGCACCCTAGTCCCTTGCTAACGAGAACGCGGAACAAGAAGAGGCTGACCAGCGACGAGGGATTTTTTTTTTGCAGCGTAACAGTCGGGATCAACAAAATAATACCATTTTCAATCTCTGTAATACATTAGGCGAATCCCACATCGACAAAGCACTGGAGAAATGTTTTGGGGTGAAATGAAGAAGTTCTTATGAGCACTCCGAAGCTAAATGTGCTCTGTATGGAGTACAACAAAGATGAGTGATCTTATGAAAAGTCATCTTAAATTCTACCCCAAATAAAAAACTGTAAGTGTCGAGTGTCAGTCTCGGACAATATCTTAGTTGGGAAAAAGTTCGTACCTTACAATCTCTTTCTCTAGATCGACGATTCCTTTATTTTTTCTTCTCATCACGCGTCAACCCATCACTCTTCTAAAAATATTCCACCTTCGCCTCCATTCCTCTGCTCTCTCCGAACAATACCCAAATTGTTGATCCTTCCTTCAATCGTTGGTGATTCCCTCGTTCTAGTTAGAGGCTAGAGATCCTCTCTAGATACACCCTTTCGGTAATACATCCCTGTCCTTATTTTCATCCTTTGGGGTCAAGAAGGATTCTTTGGCTGTTTTCGGGGCAGGGTGTCTCTGGGTTATCGTCTTTCTCCAGAGGATTGTTGGTGGGTTCTGGGCCTGGCCATTTGGGTTTGCGATTCAGGTTTTCTAGGTCGTTCTAGTCAACCCGGTTCTTATAATTCCCCTCTCGGGAGTTCTTGCTTTATTTAGTGTAGTTGATCATTTGTGATTGTTGGTTGGAATTGTCTGGTAGCGTTGTTGAATGTTTGAGATGCTGGTTAGCGTTAGCAACTGTTAAGGGTTCAAGTTTGAAATTTGAGGAAACTGATTGTTTATCGAACTCTGGTTGTTTACAGGGTCAGTGTAGGTTAGTTCTGGCTTTTGATTGAACACACCTGGTGCTGCTAATTATGGCTAACGATGCGTCAGCTTGTGCGGAGAGGGCGACAAGTGATATGTTGATTGGTCCTGATTGGGCTATCAACATTGAGCTTTGTGATATCATTAACATGGATCCAAGGTATTTCCTGATTTCTCAGCTTGTTTTCTGCCCATTTTGGTCCTCAGTTAGACCTCTTTTATTAGTCTCTTTATGGTAATGTGCTCTGGTGGTTGAGAGACTAAGCTTATGTACTTCGTGTTAGCTGCAAGTGGGAGGTTTTGTTGTAGATTCAGTGGTTAAATTTGGCGAATGGCGGAGTTGGGTGTTGGTTATCAATCAGGATACTTCAATGATTGTTTTGATTCTATAGTTTTAGTGGGGAATGTTTCAGAACTGCTTTTCACATCTTAGCTTGATCAAACTTCTTGTGACCTCTATGTGAGATTGTCTTTTATTAGCTAGAACAGAGTTGGCAGCATTGTAATTGGAATGTGCAGTAAACACTCAGATGGTTGAGGATGTTTGTTGTGAGTTTGTGATTAGTTGCAAATGCACGGAATTGTGCTCCTTGTTGAGTGGTTTGAATTTTTAATGTAGACATCAGATGATTGTTTATGAACCAGAATAGACAGGATGCTGGAACTCTTATCATATTCATCCATGTTCTGTTTCTATCATCTTAAGTTTGTAGTGATACTTTGTGACCTAGCTGGATTCTAACTTGACAATTCTATACTAGCGCCGACTTTGAATTTTGAATCCATTGTTGAATGCTTTTGACATTGCAGGCAAACGAAGGATGCATTAAAAGTACTGAAAAAGAAGCTAGGCCACAAAAATCCAAAAATTCAAATACTAGCACTTGTCGTGAGTATTTGTTCTACCTCTTAAGATCCACTAGCATGGCTTGTACTTGTTCAGATTAAAGATGCAAAGAACTGCATGGAACTTCTCTGATGCCAGCTGTTGAAACTCCAGAATTTGTTTCAGTACTTGCTTTGGGCCTTTTATCCTAGTTAGATAGTTGGATAAAATGCTGTTCTCCCTTGTGTTGATTCAGGCACTGGAGACCCTTACCAAGAACTGTGGAGAGAATGTGTTTCAGCTGATCATTGAGCGTGATATATTAAATGATATGGTTAAGATTGTGAAGAAGAAGGTGAGGGCCTTCCTCTCTGTCCGTGATGTCAGCAATTTCCTGCTTTGTTCTTAGTCTTATTCAATAATCGTTATGTTTATTGTGATTGCAGCCAGATTTGAATGTTAGAGAAAAGATACTTACCCTGATAGACACATGGCAAGAAGCACTTGGGGGGCCAACTGGGAGGTACCCTCAGTATTATACTGCATATAATGGACTGAGGGTAACTATTCTCTTGCATGCTGGTTGTCTTCATTTTGTGCCTTTCACAAATAGCTGTCAGTTTTTATACCATTCAGAACATAATCTTTCATTTTTAGCTTTCCCTTGTATATATATAATGATAATCATGATTACTGTCTTTAAATGATCTATAGCTTTAAATTGAGCGGGAGAAAATGATGTGAAATTCTTTGTAATTTAAAAAAGAGTGATATATTCTTCAATTGACAGGCTGCCGGAATTCAATTCCCACCCAGGGAAGAAAACAGTGTGCCACTGTTCACTCCTCCCCAAACACTAGCAATAGCGCCTCCACCTATTGCGTATGAAGATGCTGCAATTCAGGCATCTCTCGAGTCTGATGCTTCTGGCCTGAGGTAGAATATTTGCTTGATATAGCAGTTGTATTTCTATCGCATTCATGCCATGCACACTTTTTCTCGTGCAATTATGGAAAGCTGCTTCTACATTCCATATATCTAATTTTCAAATTCCAATATTGTTTCTTTACCATTTGTTTTTGGCCTTTTGTTTTGAAATTTTGTTTCTCTGATAATTTTATTGTATTCTGAATGGTTGACTGCAATTAGGGTTACATTGAAATTTTTTATTTCAGCTTACCGGAGATTGAAAATGCTCGCGGTGTAGCGGAAGTATTAATGGAAATGCTTAGTGCCCTGGACCCTAAGAACCCTGAGGTATGAATTGGATTCAATTTGCTGATTTATAAAGAGCAAGCAGTCTTGTACTTCTCAAGATAATGTCTCCTTATTTCTTCCTGAATCTTGGATTATTGTGAAATAGTATCTATAGCCATCTTATCAAATCAGGTTGTAATCTTTGATCTTTCATATCTTGTCCTGCATCCTTACACTGCTAATGCTTATAGGGGGAAACTCGCCTTGGTCACTACTGTTTTAGAGAAGCTTCCACTTTTTGTGGTTGCACACTTTTCTTTCATGTTCTCGTGTCTTTTCCTGTCTTAATTCCATCCTTATGTAGTCATAAAACCTGTTAACTTTGATCAAGCCCCGGTGACCCTTGTGTCTTCTCCTGGGGAACATGGCACTTCACTTTTGCAAGTGTTGACTGGGTTTTCTGGTAGTATCAGATCCATTTCAGCATCTGTTTGAGCTTCTTGTTTCATTCTATCTTATTATTTTTTTAATAACTTTTGTGGGTCGTTTCAGAAATTTTGAACTTCTCTTAAATGGTTGATTTGATGACAGGGTTTGAAGCAAGAATTGATTGTTGATCTCATTGACCAGTGTCGTTCCTATCAAACAAGAGTACTGCTTCTTGTGAACAACACAGCGTAAGGACTAATCCGATCCTTGTTTCCTGCACATTGCCTTGCTACTTTCTATGCTGACATAGATAGTGACACAATGATATTTTAGGGACGAGGAACTCCTCGCACAGGGATTGGCATTGAATGATAACTTGCAGCGCGCCATTCGCCGCCACGATGATATTGCCAATGGAACAGCTGGTCAAGTAGGGTCGCAAAAAATAGAAACCCCGTTGGTGCCACTTGTTAATGTTAACCATGAAGATGATGACTCAGATGATGATTTCTCCCAGTTGGCTCATAGGTACGCATGTTAAATTTTTTCCATAATAATGACCCATTGGACAGTGGAAAACCTGGGACGAGGCTGGAGCAACTTCAAGGGTCATTTGGATGTAGGGTTTCTTCCAAAACCCTTGTCCGGTGTAGTAGAAAACGGTACCAAGTCTATGGATTTGGAAATTCATGGTCTGTACAAATTTAAGGAACTCATCGTTCTAGGAAGGTTTTCTGAATCCATCCATAATATTGTCATTTTTGGCCTCACCGTTTTTGCTTATTCTAAAACGTCGTTAAGGTCATTTTGTACAAGTCCATTTTGATAATATTATACCCAACACTACCCTTATTCTAACTAGCCTTTGTCACTGCTTTTGTTTCCAGATCATCGAGGGAGAATTTACATGGACAGGGCCGGAAGCCAACCAGTGTGAGGACGCCACCACGTGCTGCCACTCCATTCCTTCCTCCACCACCTTCATCGAAGAAGCCGGTGAGCTCAGAGTCTCCCGCAGTTGACTACCTCAGTGGAGACTTATATAAATCTTCTGGAGGTTCATCCCTTGACAACACATTAGAACCACCACCTTTCACAGTGCCAGCACATCTCAGACCACGCTCCTCCTCCCCTCCATATTCCCCTACATCATCTCCCCCACGGCCTCCACCTCCCCCTTTTCCTTCCTCCCCTCCAATGTTTGCCGGCAAGCCCATATTTGACGAACCGGCTCCACGGAGCAAATCTCCTGATCAGCTACCTCCAGCTCCATGGGAATCACCTTCTACTGTAAGTCTGCCACCCCCACCTGGCAGGCATAATCAGAGACAACAATTTTTTGATCACCCTGGTGGTAGTAGCGGCTCTGGTTCCTCTTACGACAGCGTAGTTGGTCAAGCTCAGAACTTGTCTCTAAATTCGTCTGCTGCACCGAAGAAGGATGCAAAACCAGAGGATGTCCTGTTTAAGGATCTTGTGGATTTCGCGAAATCCAAGTCGTCGAAACCCCCCAGCGATAGATCATATTGAGGTGTGATGGTTTTATTGGTACAGCTTGAGTTTACATCTTCAATAGTCACCTGGGTTTTGACCCCTTTTGTTCATTGAGATAGATGCGAATTAATAAAAGAAAAGGCTGGTTCAAGCTTTTTGTGTATGTATGGTGAGTCTTGGTAGTCATTGGATCTGAGGTTTTTAATGGGTAAGAGTAAATTGCTGCTTCTTGCATGTTTGCTCTGACTGAAGAATGTTCTATGTATCATATTCTTATGCTTTTTGAATCCTATTGATGATTTCGTTTATCCCCATTACGCCTTGTATGTTTATGTTGCTAGATGTTTTAACTGGTTAGCATGTGACCCTGGTAGTTTATAGCTAGGGATGGCAATGGTTTGGGTTTGGTTTGAGTTTTGTCAAACTCAAATTCATGGGTATATATCCACACACAAAAAACTCGGGGTAAAGCTTATTGGGTTTGAAAAACTCAAACCCAACTCAACCCAACCCACTGGGTATCCGCGGGTTTATGGATATTCATGAGTTCAGTGGTAAAAAATGCACGATATCAAGTTCTAGTTAAAATAAAAGTTTAACATAATTTTTCTCATACAAATTACTTAAACAAACAACACCAATCTAGAGCATACAAGCAAAGAACAAAGTATCCATACAAATTGTTCAACATTAAAGATAAACATCCATAAACAACATGATTAACTGGAAATTTCTTCCTCCTTGTCAACTAAATTTCTTCACTCTCCACTCCATAATATCAACTTCATTCTACACAATTAGAAAGAACAAATTAGACATGTCTCCACAAACATAAGGAAGATTAGTTGCTTCAAGAAGATTAGCATTGAGAGAATGGCCAAATGGGAAGTTGGTTAGAGATTCGTGGTTGGGGACAGACACGGGTCGGAGCAGGTTGGATATAGCTAAACACGAACCTTACCCGCAAAACAATAAACTGGTTTAAACCCGAACCCGATCCATAATCTGTCAATGCGGGTTTTATCCGCGTCGAACGGGTTGGATCGGGTAGGATACTCGTGAGTTTGGGTTATATTGCCATCCTACCATTGGCTTTTGCTTATGGATTTTTTTTTAAAAGTAGCTTCTAGTTATAATTTTCAAAAAACATTTTGGGTATACTAGAAATACTTTTTAGTATAAGAAGTCATGCAAACTCAATTGGTAACCCATAAAGTTTGGACTTTGCTACGGTGACATGCATGTCACGGTGACATGCACTTTTCGGTCGACCTCAGATAGGATCAGGTCGACCTAATCTGTTGTTTCAGTGTAAAAACAGTTTCATGGTGCCTACTTTGGAGATTCATATCTTACAATTGTCTAGATGGAAATTGGAGATTAAAGGCTTGTTTTGAAGTTGAAGTGTCTCTCTACACATTAAAGTACTTGAGAGCTCAATAGAAAGTCTAGAAGACCATTTTTGAACCTGACCAAAAGGCTATGCCAAAACTGGGAAACTGCCTGAAAATGGCCAAGTCTGGCAACGTGTTTGTCAAGCCTACTTTGGAGCTCAATTTGAGAAGCATGAATGCGAGTCAAGTCCAGGGGCCTCTACCACGTTAAATTAAGTATTTTTTTATACAAAGGCAAGGCATTGGATGAAAGATTGAATATCTTTAAGGCTTCAAACAAAAGGCTCAAAGTTGCTACGAAGGCTGTTTTTCTAGCCGCTTGCTTGTGCTCGAAGTCTGCCAGAAAAACAGCCTTCGTAGCAACTTCGACCCTTTTATTTGAAGCCTTACAAATATCCAATCTTTCATCCAATGCCTTGAATTTGTATGAAAACATACCTAATTTAACGTGGTAGAAGCTCCTGGACTCGAATCACATTCATGCTTCTCGAATTGAGGTCCAAAATAGGCTTCACAAACACGTTTCCAGACTTAGCCATTTCCAGGCAGTTTCCCAGTTTTGGCATAGCCTTTTGATGAGGTTCAAAAATGGTCTTCTGTACTTCTTATCGAGCTCTCAATCACTTCAATATGTAGAGGGACACTCCAGCTTCAAAACAAGTCATTAGTCTTCAATTTCCATCTAGCCAATTGTGTGATATGAATATCCAAAGTAGGCACCATGAACTGTTTTTACACTGAAACAACAGATTAGGTCGTCCTGATCCTATATGAGGTCGACCGAATCCTAAATGAGGTCGACCAGATCCTATATGAGGTCGACCTAATCCTGACTGAGGTCGACCGGAAAGTGCAAGTCACCGTGACATGCATGTCACCGTAGGCACACTCATAAAATTTATATAGTGGTATTCCCTTAAAAAAATAAAAAATTAAATAAAATTAAATAAAACATTATCTGACTAATACAAGTCAGAGATGGAGTTTTGTACTATATGGATTTTGTACCTATCTGCTCTCTTATTTTAGAACGTTTCACTTTAAGTGTTATAGTTGGACAAAGAATTGTGTTAGTTATTGTGTGGTAATTAATTAATATTTGTTCTAATATTAATTAATTAATATTGTATGGTAATTAATTGTGTTAGTTATTGTGTTGGATAAAGTTTTTTTCATTTGTGATTTAACCTACAAAGGTAATGTATATTATTATATCCTTTTATCTGTTATTCTTTTATGGGGATATCTATGAAAAAAAAAAATATTTCTTCCAAGGAAAGAAAGGAAATTTTAAGTGAAAAAAGGAGAGAGATGCCACAAGTCTAAGGTGAGAAGGAAATAAATTTGATTGTGTAATTCTATAAATATGGGTTGTGTTTATGGTTAATATAAGAAGATTGAAACCCAAATTATATTTCTTACTTTTGTTATTTGATTAGTAATTTCATACTATTTCGAGCTTGTTTTGTCATTAAAGAGAACTTCTAGAAAGTTATCCCAAAGTCCGGAGGGAAAATAATCAAAATATACATAACAACTGTTATCAAAGTTGCTTCTCCGACACCGCAATCAAGATGTTGCATTCCAAAAGAGTTGATGTTCGAGTTTCAGAATTTTGCTAGCCACGTATTTTGAGCTGCGGAATTTGTCGCAATCCAAAAGATTTGATGAAGAAAGATAAGGAAGAGGAACAAACTCGGGGGAGAGGAGAGAGGAATGATAGCAAGTCCTTTTGACGGGTCTTCTGTTTAGCTCACCAGATTCAAGGAGAGAGGGTTAGTTCATGGGTGAGAGACTTAGGTCATAGAGTACTATGACATGGCATATTGAATTTGGGTGATTGAGTATTTCTGTCAGCTATGTCATCAAAACACTAATGACGTTAAAGAGTCTGATGGATGTTAACGATCAATGACTAAAATTGAAATTTTATTGTAATTAAAGTAATCATTAATGCAATTAAAATTTTTAAGTGGCAAATGTGACCAAACATGCTATTCACCCTTGCTATACGTAGAACTACAAAATAAGATCTAATGGTTGAACAAATTTTTTTACACCATCTTATCGTAGTCATATCACGATAATACCATGATAGTGATATGAGAATCACAGTTTTTTAATAGTGGGAAGAACATGATATTACTTATGGATCAATGATTTTATGCTCCAGCAAGTATCAGGGCTACTCACTCTTATCAAGGGTTGTTGTCTATAAGAGCTGCTCATGTATGTGTTGATTACTTTGGGTCCTCTGAATGACGTGCTTTGAACTATTTGTAGTTATCTTGTGAGTGACTGAGTTAGTTCATTTTATGCTGTCTATGTCAATCGTTAGATTTACTTTTGTTGCAGTTGTACATCCAAATATTAATTAATTTAATTTAATATTTATAAACGTGAAGTAGAATTACGGTTCATTAACAAATATACCATTTGTTTCTCTGTTCTTGGCAACTGTTCATTAACAAATATACTCTTTGTTTCTCTGTTCTTGGCGTCCTGCGCCTCCCATCAATATAAAAATACAATTAGATATTTATAAACGTGAAGTAGAATTACTGTTCATTAACAAATATACCATTTGTTTCTCTGTTCTTGGCGACTGTTCATTAACAAATATACCCTTTGTTTCTCTGTTCTTGGCGTCCTGCGCCTCCCATCAATATAAAAATACAATTAGATATTCTTGTCAATTAATATATCCTAATGTGCTCATTGAGAATTAGGGCTACCAATTATTGCTGGCAATGGGATGGGAGAGTACTTTAATGCTTATTATTGCCTCACGCCAACCGCTGGTTAGGTTGAATAATATCCACACAAGTATGGGTCGGGGTATATCGATCTATTGTTATACATAATTTGAAGAAAAATTTAATTTGTAACGATAAAAATGATGTGAAAATAGTTCAAAAATGAAAATAGAGATAATTGGTAGACTAATCGAGTAAAATTAGTTGGAAGATAAAATTTTGTACGTATTTAAGTATCATTGGATGAAAATATGATTTAGAATGAGTAAAAATAGGAAAAATATAATTAAATATTGAGATAAATCAAGGTAAAATGGGCCAAGAACGGGTGAAACAGGGTTGCGCAGGACGAAAGTAGTACACATTCCCCACCCCACACTACTGTGGGCCCAGCACGGATGAGGTCGAGTAATCCTCGACGGGATGAGTTGAAATTGCCATCACTACTACCAATTTTATTATAGCTTTAAGTCTTTGTTGCAATTTTTTAACACTTTTACATCATTCTTTTCATATTTTGATATAAAACACAACATCATGTGATGTGGTATATATTGATTAGGATTTTTAAAATACCAATAAAATACAAAGATTCTTATTAATTGGAAATAATATATCTTTGGCTAAATTAGAGGTAGCCGAAATATTTAAGAAACAATTAGGTTGAGATAGAAGGGAACAAAATAACTATTGAATTTGCATTGAATGTTATCCAAATAGGTAAGTATTTATTTATTTATATCGTATTAATTATAGAGTGATTTTTCTTGATAGATATTATGCAATTAATATAGACATTGATGAGCCCCGTATTCGACCGACAAATACCGTGCAATTTTTGCAGAAAGTATTTAAACGTTGATTGAACCCTTTTTTATCCTCTTCCACCAACCATTAAGGGGCTCAAGATAGGGTGCATAACCCATGGTTATGCACCCATCAATAACTAAATCTGGACCCTTCATTTAGAAAATTCAGATCTAAGGATGGAGAATTAAAGACCATTTCGATTTTCACTAGCTTTCTTAATTGACTCATATCTTTTTCGTTTTAACTCGGATTTTAATTTTTTTTGCACAGATGGAACGAGTTCATCGTGCTCTACAAAATGAGATCAATTTTCAATATTTTTTGAGGGAAATTTTTTTTTGGCCTCTCGGTACCAACTGCATACCATATGGTATCTTCTTCGTTTTTCATTCGTTTTTGAAAACGTTTGCACAGCA